TTGCCTCCACTTCTGTCCCGACTCTGGCTTAGGGTTGAAACGCGCGCGCAGAGAGCAAGAGATTTGATGCTTTGGTCTCAGCTCAGTGTGCTTGCACTCGCTTAAAATGAAAACTTGAGCATTCGACATCTACTTGTGCGTTCTGACAGACTGTAGATCGCAACAACAGCCTTCCAGATTCTCGCCGGTCATCGTTCTCCTCCTCCAATAGTATCACGGTGCCGCCAGGTCGAGAGAAACCGGTGGAAACCCACGCCAATATACCGGGACAGTCATCACAACACACGGTCTACCTCGAGTCGTCTGGCAGACTCTTATACCTTTACCATGTCATCTGTAAGTGGTGTCGGGGACGTGACATGTCTACTTTATCACTGAACACCCCAATCCTGGACGAGCAGAAGCAAGAGCGATGTCAGCAATGTCTGGGCGATCAGTTGTTTACCGACCATGGTGCAGGGCATATCGTGTATGTTGTCTTGGCTCTTTTATCGCGTGTGACTTGCTCAACCTGCTCTCTTCTTTCAGCTGCATGACATGTGGTAACATTGTCAGTGACACCATTTTATCGGCGGACATCGAATTTGGTGAAGGAGGCGGTGGTGCGGCTTTCGTACAAGGTTCATTTGTTGCTGATAATGCCAGTAAGTGCGTTCATATACAACGTTGAACGCTCCTCGTATTGACAACGTGCATTGTAGCTGGAGCTAGATTTGCTGGTCCTGGAAGAAGACAGGGCGGAACGGAAAGTCGGGAACAAACCTTGGCGAATGGTGAGCACTCGTGTCCGGTTCGCTTGATCCGCCTCCGTGTTTACGTACCTCTCAATCCACAGGAAGAAAAGCATGTAACGCTCTGGCTCATCTACTCAACCTGGGACAAGGTATCGCCGATGCCGGTGCAAGATGGTTCAACCTCGCCGTGACGTACGAATTCACAAAAGGACGAAAACAGCAATATGTCATTGCAGCATGCCTGTATATTGCTTGTAGGAAGGTTAAGAACGATGTGATGCTTATCGACTTTAGTGACAAATTACACGTGAGTCCGGAATGTGAAAGCCTTGAAGCTCGGCGTTGGTATTGATCGTTGACTCCATGACAGGTCAACGTCTTCGAACTGGGAAGCACCTACCTCAAGCTGGTGCGAAAGCTAAACCTGAAGGATATCCCGCTGATCGACCCTTCCATCTACATTGCGAGATTCGCCGGCTTGCTGGAGTTTGGAGAAGACACTCGACGAGTGGCTCAGGACGCCTCCCGACTAGTTTCGCGATTCGAACGAGATTGGATGCAAACCGGTCGTCGACCTTCAGGAATCTGTGGAGCTTGTCTCATCCTCGCCGCACGAATGAATAATTATCGTCGGTCGGTCGCCGAAGTGGTGCAAGTCGTTAAAATCGCCGATGTCACGCTTCGTAAGCGACTTGCAGAATTCGGTGCAACAGAGAGCAGTCAGTTGACTGTCACGCAGTTTCGAGAAATGTGGTTGGCGGATGCGGATAAACCTCCAGCAATGATAAGAAATTTGAAAAAGGAGGCGGAACAGGAGAAGAGAGCTGCAAGGAGAGACAGAGGTGTGGACTCGGATGAGAGTACAGTGGACGAGGACGCGGATGAAGACGTCAAGGCCGCGAAAATGAGAAGAAGAAAGCGGAGGGAGCAGATGAAGGAGGAGAGGGAAAGAGCCAAGCGGTTGCGGATGGAAGCTGGAATCAAGGAAAGTGACGAAGAAAGCGAAATGGGCACACCAGTACGGTCGTCTAGAGCAGGCAGCACAGCACGCGCTACTCCGGACCTGCACCAAGCGGCTTTACGTCAACTACATGGTTCACCAACCCCCACGCCAGCCACAAAAAAGACAGGAACGATTTCCGCTCTGCAACATATTCAAGACGAAATGGCACGATTGGAAAGGGAAAGAGAAGCGATAGATGCGGAAGAAGAAGCGGCTCGTCTCGACGAGAATGGCGGCGCAACCTCTGGGCCGGCAGGAGAAGACGATATCCTAAGACGCATAGAGGATGATGATAGAGGATTGGACACGCAGCTCCGCACAGTGCATGAAGAGAAGGATGGTGAATCGGATATAGAAGATCCCGCGGCGCTTCTAGAAGAAGAACTCGACAATCCGTTGGTCGATTTAGCGGTGACTGGGGAAATCGAGGAATACATGCGAGAAGGACGTCCCGCCGAGCTCATTCACTCGCTGGATGAACATGAACAGCGGAGAATGAATCAATTGAAGCGAAAATTGAACAGTCCGGACGAGGATCTGAGCGGACTCGATGACGGTGAACTCGATAGCTACTTGTTGGACGAACAGGCAGTCAAGGTGAAGACGATGATTTGGAATAAGATGAACAAGGAATATCTGATCAAACTATATGGTGAGTCAACTCACATATCCTGCAAGTAAAGCGCAGCTGATTTTCTTGGGTGTCAAACAGCCAAGCAAGCCAAACAAGCAGGTGAAATTGACACGTCCGCACCCCCAAAGGTAATGATTTCGACTTGCGAAAATGCGTGTGTCTCGCTGAACTTTATTTACGCTTGTCTAGCCCAAGAGGAAGAAGAACAACAAACTTGGTCCCGCGTCAACCGGCATGGAAGCTGTTCAAAACCTTGCAACTCATAAAAAGTTCAGTAGGAAGATGAATTACGATCAACTTGCCAAGCTTATGCAAGAAGACAGTGAGGAAGATGGCTTCGATGCAAAGGGCTTGCAACGAATGCCGAGCACGGCACCGGAGTCTCATGCACGTCGGGATAAGGATAACGATTATGATAATGGTAAGCTAAGCAACCGGCCCTCTCGAGAATCGGACCTGACAGCGTTTGACGTTCCACGTGCAGACAAAGCAGACGAATCTGCGAATGAAGACGGAAACGAAAAGGACGATGTGAACGAGAAGGAAGGTTCTCCCGAAATTGTTGAGGAGGACCATGACAGTCATTTGCCACCGGCAACAACAGCATACGCCGACGCTGCTGAAGAAGAGGAACCTGCGATGCCAGCTTGGCAGAGATTCCGGAATTACGAAGAAGAAGAAGGCTTTGAAGAATTATAGTTCGAAACGATTTCATACTGGATCTTTCGCCTCTGCCCCCCAGTGGCACCGTCTACCATCTACGATATTATCTCTGCACGTTCCGGATTACGGTTTGATCTATAAACAAATAAACCTGAAACACTCCCTAAAATTTTGAGTTTGCAGTTGTATGTTACCTCTTCCATGACAGTTATGCACTTGTATTGATCCCCGAAGTGCTATTACGGGCACCCTAGACTCTAGCCTTCGTTCACTAGGCATTATCGGGGCTTTCTGTAATCTTGTCTACTGTCGTCAACACATCAGCTAGCATGCCAGTCATTACATCTATTTCAATACTCGCTAAGTCGCGACATTTACAAGGGATGGCAAATCGGAAATTGCGCAGCGTATAATAAAGATCTAGTTCCGCACCCAGTACCAAGATCAATCCACATCATCGGCTCTATCGGTATCGGCAGCAGTGGTCGTAGTTCCGCCTTCACTTTCACTGCTCTCCTCATCGCTACTACTTGAGTCTGCGTCATCCTTCTTGTGAATCTGGAATGCCATGCTCCAGAAGACGGCTGATTCATCCCGAGATTTGCAGATGTAGGTTGCAGGTTGGCCGTCCCAGTACCGCAGCAGCGGAATCCTCAGGGCAAAGGGTTGTGGTAGGACCGCGCATAACGTGCTGAAGTCTGAGATGGTGATTACCGATTAGTCTGCATATCATATCGTCTCGAGAGAGGACTTACCTAATAGTCCATTGCAGAATTCCATTCCGACTTCCCAGTGCTCATCCAATATCAGTGACTGTCGGTTCTCTTTATTCGTCAGCCAACGTCTTCTGGCCTTTACAGCTTCGGGAGTTCCGACTCCCCAATCTTTGACCGGGTCCTGCGATGCGGCCAACACGTCGTCGGACAGGTTGCCAAAATTCTCCTTTCGCAGAGCCATAATCCCTTCATACGAGTCTTCCGTGATCACAGTCGATTGTCGCTGTTTACTGGTACCGTTTGCGTTTGCGTTTCCATTTCCATTTCCATTGCCGTTTGCGTGCGTTTCACTGGCACCTGCTTTCTGAATGGATAGGTAGTTCATGGAAGCCACGGTCGGTGACCTAATGGAAACCAAGCGGATAAGATACGGTGGTCCGTAACGTAAATAAACTGACTCACAGAGCCCAAGGTTTGTCGGCATACGGATCCATTTCCACTGTGGGGTCTACCCAGCTAGAGGAAGAAGGTTCTCCGTCAATACCAGCGCGAAACCTCATTAACGACTAAGTAACGTACTTGATGAACCGCATCGCAATGGACGTTCCCCATGGTAAGCTAGCTCTGATTGGCTTCTCGAATACATTGCCGAAGAGAATGTCATCTGCAGATGTTGGCTTCAGAAAGCGCCCTAACAACCCGTAGCTGTTTAATTTAGCGAGGCAAACTTGAAATGTATAGTCGTATTGGCTTACCTCGCACCACGAGTCCGTAAGTCATGCCTTCTCTTCCCGGTTCACTGAAGTACTCCATGCCATCTCCCTTTTTCTTCAGTCCATGATAATCTTTGACCCATACGGATATCTCTCCATCAAACGCGTCGGTTTTTATCGGTATTGGTGTCGTCGAATTAACCACTACCGGTTGAATTGGCGGGTATGCCGTGTTGCCTTGTGGCTGTAGGATCTTCAGAACGGGTGCCATGGTAGATGACTATGCTGAGTGAACTGCAAAGGTTCGGACGGCTCTGGGGGAGCTCAAATCGAATTGAAGCGGAATATCAAGCCATTATGCTATAACCTCGTAGGCTGATGCTCGACGTGCAATCGGCGATCCTTGACGTCAGTCATACAAAAGAAAGCCACGCGGCGCTGATAAGGCTGTTCTGCCGATTGCATGAAACGTGTGCGCCGCATCTACCGCTTTTCGACTTTGTTATGTTCTATGCGGCAAATCAAAATTGTGGCACGGTGCGCTTGATGTAGTTGGTTATCATGTATGCTTTACAATTCATTGTGAGACGCACGCATAATGTCGCCATTTCGAGTCTGGCAGCATTCGCGCAATCAGTCATCTTTTGTACATGTGACCCCTATCCTCTCACGACGGACGAGGACCTTGGAGAAGGCGGAAACGTAAACCTTGTCATGCTGCACTTCATTGTCAGTCTTTGTTCACCAGCACTTGGGATCGACTTTGAGCTGCGGAATGGATTACGTTGTTGCACGAGATGCCTCTCGTCCGGCATTTCACACAGCAGCAACACGTTGTAGGCAGCCGTTTGGCCATCAGCCCTGACACGAACCTGTACCCCTAGTACGGGTATATAGGAACCGAGAACAAAGGAAGGCCTTTTGCCCACACCTGAATGAAATACGTCCTAAGAATACATATATATGTAGACCTAAAATGAAGGATCCCCGGCATCATTCTTGAACTCCATCCCTCCGACCCCCTCACATTTCCCCTAATCCTCTAAGCCCTCGATCTACTTCCTTCCACCATGTGTACCGGACTCGCCTGTGCCTTGGCAATGAAGGCCGAAAAAAACGCTGCAGCTTTCAAGATGCTGAACTCTACCACAGAAACGATGCCTGTCCAGGGCTTCTACATCCCCGAGGAGGAACTAGACCGGAGACCTCTGGGACCGTGCGCATATGCGGCTCCCTCTCAGAGTAAAGAGCCCGCTATGGGCAACAAAAGGGTACAAATGGAGATCATCCTTGAGGCAGTGGAGATTGAAGGCGGGGGAAAGGCCGGTGTCAACTCTCTTGCGCAGACTAGGGAGACGAAGGTCCCGAATGCGACCGAGGCAAGGTGAGCGTATGGTTTGCTGAGTATGTCTGCCCAGCACTGACGTGTTATGTCTACTCCGTCGCTGGCCATGTCTAAGTGTGCATGATGAGGCGTCTGTCGATAAGGCGCTCGGGGTGAAGTGCGAATAAGGGTCGGAGGGTCGGACTAGATAATGCTAGGCTCCTCATGATTGCGGACTGCAGAGGCACTGTACCATACCGTTGCGCCTGAAGAACATATGTCACTATGCGTCCTGTACTGTTTGGCTGTATCATTTTTCTCGAAGCCTTTGCCACCGCACTGTATTCTATTCTCGTGTACAAACTGTTGAACCTTGCTTGAGCTGTGACGTTCCGCTTGTTCTGCGTCCAGTTTCAAGCGACAACCTGCAGCGTAATTGAATTCTACTCGATAACCTGCATCCACATGTAGTACCTTGACACCTGCTCATAAGCAGTGACTGAGAGACTTCAGGGCTGCCTAGACTTTCAATTCACTTTAGCTTGCGCAGCAAACCGCCCCTTATACCACTTGAATCGCAGGCTCCTTACTTACGGAGTTACACCAACAAAGGAGACGACGAGGACGAGCTTCGAACATACCGTTGGTCATATAACAGCAAAGCTTGGCTAATGCACAGATTTGCGTCCACAGACCCCTGCTCGTTCCCTCTATCCTCTCCCTTCTCCCTGTGCCGTTACCATCGACATCTGTCAGTCACAATCAACCTCCGAACAACCACCAACATGTGTATCGCCTTCGCCGTCATACTTACCGCAAAAAGAAGCCAACGAGCGGCGCAAGTGAGTACCAAAGAGTACGAGACCGCCATGCCTGGAATGACCCAAGGAATCTACATCCCAGAGAACGAAATGAGTCAGTGGGACCGGAGCATCGCTGAATGGTTTGCACTACGATCACCTGCCGGGAATGATGTCCTTGGACCGAAGGACGATGACGGCAAGCCTTCTCGGACAGGAAAGCTTGTCGATAGAGTCCATGAGGTCGCAGGTCCGCCCGTATTTCATCTGCCACTACTCACCCAGTTCCTGGAACTTGACAAGCCATCGCTCGAGGCAGCGGACGAAAGGCGAGATGCTTCTTGCCTTGTCGAAGGATGGTCCGATTACCCAGGACAGAGCGCAGCCAAAGTGTTGTCGAAGGTAGCTTGAAGAGTTCGACCTTCGCCGGAAAACTGTAGAACGGTGTCTTCAAGAAGAGCTTGTTGTAGCGTCTGCTGTACTCTCGCTCGAATGATAGAATTGGTGCATCTATATCGCCATCGGGTCGTGCATCAAAGAGCTTTGAAGTTGAGCTTGAGCGGGTCCCCAAGGCAGCTGAGGAGCACGTTATGATGTACGGGGTGAGAGCAGATCGGTGTATTCCCTTCCGTGTGTTGTCTCTGAAGCCAAGTCGGGCATGAATATTGCATAAAGCTGCAGCTCTCAAGTCATCCAGGTAGTGGCCATGGCGACAGTGAACGCAGCGGCAGACACGACAGCAGCATTGAAATTCTGCGAGATGACGTGTCAACATCCCGAAGATATGGTCCGGTTCCCTCTTCTCCGCGGGGTCTCCATGAACCCGGCGGATCGGCAGGCACGACGTCAACGGCCGTCTAAATTTGGGCTGAATTGATGTTCTTCATTGCAGGTCTTCACAGTATGACAACGTCCTACAGCTCTATGGTCCGGTCAGGCGGCTTCGGCATCTTCACAACATCCCCGTAGTCAGCGTCGTGTGCCACGATGTGCAACCCGACTTGAATACGCTTTGCTAGAGCATCGACCTCCGTTCATTCAGCTGTTCATTCCACAGCTATATATACATGAGCTCTTGCTCAGACCGCAGAACGTCCCTCGCCCTTTTAGGCATCCCGTCGACTGGGCATCGCTAGAAATTCAATATATGCACGCCTTCAACCTTCTCATCCTCGGCTTCGCCGTCGCTTTACCCAGCGCCTTTCTCTACCTCTGGCTCACCCGTCCTTCTGCCCAGTCAAAGCATGCTCGACTCCCACCTGGACCGAAACCACATTGGCTGCTTGGAAATGCACTGCCTCCAAAGTACCCCTGGAGATACTTCGAAGACCTGACGAAGCAGTATGGAGATCAGGGAGGAGAAGGGTGTACCACCATTTGGCAAGGACAAACGCCCCTGGTCATTGTTGGTAGGGTAGCAGCGTAAGTGCAAGTGAAATTGTCTCTTCCGAGTCGCTTCCTGAATGCCCCATACATCACACAGTGCACAGGAACTGCTTGAAAAGCAGGCGGGATCTACCGCGGATAGACCTAGTAGCATTGCGGGGAACATTATGAGTGGTCGAATGAGGATTCTGCTCATCGGCTATGGCGATCATTGGAGAAAGCTGCGAAAGTTAGTTGAGCGCCGCAACCATACCATGCTCTTCCTGGTGCTAACCGTATATTTATATAGGGCGCTCCATTCTCACCTCCAGCCACAGTCCGCCAAGTCCTATGAACCTATCCAAGAACGCGCTGCCAAGAGAGTCATCAGTGACATCATGTCGTTACCGGACGGACACCAAGATCATGTCAAAACCTATGCTGGCAAGTCCCCTTCCTTCACCTGCTACGCACTTTTGCCAACGTTTTGCATTTATCTGTCATCCGCGTCTTAGCCAGCATCGTCTTGAACATCGCTTACGGCCGGACAGAGAAAGTTTCGTACTCGGACCCGGATATCCAACTCGTCAACCAATGCGGTGACCGACTGGGTCAGACCTTGAGACCGGGATCTTTCATGGTGGAGTCACTACCCTGGCTGCGTTACGTTCCCGGTTATACCAAGAAGATCGACCAATGGCATTCCGACGAGTTGACCCTGTTCCGCGGTCAGCTCGATATGGCAAGAGAAAACCTGGTATGGTCTATTCGTCGTCGTTGGCGAGTTTCAGTCCTGACTGGTATTCTGCCGATATGCTTCTGTAGCAAACGAGCTCCGCGCCATGCTTTACCCGGTTTATTAGTGACAAACAAGCAGGTATGTGAACGGCCGTTGATTTTTAGACGAGACAAGACTAATCCCCTTTCTCTCAAAGAGTACAGGCTGTCAGACAACGAATGCGCTTATCTATGCGGCAGCTTGTGTGAGTCTCCAGCCCGACGCCTGCAGTATCAGTGGCTGATAGCGAACACTTCATTGACCAGTTGGCGCAGGAAGTGACACAGTAAGCAGGGTCGTTTCTGCCTATGCCGAAAGCTATGCCGGAGATAACTGACAAGCTATTGCACAACAGTCTGCCAGTGCCATTAATATCATGATCATGGCAGCCGCGGTTTACCCTGACGCCCAAAGACGAGTGCAAGACGAGTTGGATAGAGTGATTGGGCGTGAACGATGTAAGTATGAATTCGGCGTACGACATTGTTCTATGACGCTGATGCTACATACTATGAATGCGTATAGTGCCGACATTTGACGATCAAGAGGATTTGCCGGTTACGTGGGCCTTCATTCGCGAAACGTACCGTTGGCGACCTGTCAGTTCTGGTGGTGAGCATTCCTCGGTATGTTGTAAAGTTTCTGCAATTCTGAAGCGCCATAATCGTTCTTCTTGTAGGTTTCCAACACAAGACCACCGAGGATGTTAGCTGGGTATATGAGAGCTCGGGGCAAATGCCAGCTCCTCTGTCCGGCATCGATTGCTAAAGCCTGCTCTTCACTCGGGCAGAAAGGGTTCTTAATACCTGCTGGAACGCCTATATTGGGCAATCACTGGGGAATACACCTGGATCCTGTATACTACCCCGATCCCGAGCGGTTCAACATCGACAGATGGCTAGTTAGGGACGATGCGGGGGACTTGACGTTGAATAAGGACATGAAGCATTTTCAATTCGGGTTCGGTCGGAGGCAAGTTCAGATAGAGAAAATCTGTCCGACTAAACGGCCTCCTGACGATGCGTATGGCCACAGAGTTTGTCCAGGCCAACATATAGCCGATAGATCGGTATTCATAAATACCTCGAACCTTCTTTGGGCCTTCAATATCGCTCAAGTCAAGGATCAGCCGATTGATACATTGGCGTTCACCAATGCCGCCAATAGTCATCCTCTGCCGTATAAAGTTAGCTTCAAACCGCGGTTTGATGGTGTGAAGGAGATCCTGAGCCTTGAGCAGGTACGTGCCAGGTAGTGTATGATGAACTGGATGAATAGCTGATCATTAGTCGCTCAACAATCAGACCGCTGTCGAGATGTAGCCACGGCCCGCGACTGTAGAGCCGAGAACTCCAAAGTAC